GTCTATCTGATATTACCCCCGTCGGCCCACCCGTCTATCTAATAAATAATTCCCCCGCTCACCTCGGCCCCGTCTATCTGATATACCCCACGTCGGCCCACCCGTCTATCTAAAAATAACTCACCTCACCCACCCTCAGCCCACCCGTCTATCTATATTACCCCATCGGCCAACCCGTCTATGTAATAAATAATTCCCCTCACCCTCGGCCCACCCGTCTATCTGATATTACCCCACGTCGGCCCACCCGTCTATCTAATAATATTCACACCGCTCCCTCGCCCGCCGTCTACAAAAAATACTAATACGTCGGCCCACACGTCTATATAATACTATTGCTATACATCTCTCCTCAGGTCTATAATATATGTCAATCCTACTCTACATATTACCCACTGGGCCACCATCTCCATAATAATATTTCTCCCGGCCCATCCGCTATCGTCGATTGATATATATAACATCAGCATAGATGGGCCCACCCGTCAACATCGGGAATATACATAACATTGGCCCATAATACGCTGGCCCGTATTACACGGGATATTATGTAGGTCGGGTGACCCGTATAATACGGGATTTGTCACTGAAGGGGCTCACTCTGCACTTGGTACTCAGCACTCAGTAGTCAATATATTGTATTTTGCATATATCTCACTCAAATTATATCCATTTCAGACAATCTGAATTCTCCCACACCCCTGAGATCGAGGGCTATCTTCATGTCAATGCCCGAAAGCATCGAACTTCTGATGCCAAAATTCACCCGGTATATAGTATTTTGCTCATATCTCACTCAAATCACATCCGTTTGAGATGATCTAAATTCTGATGGGCCCCTGAGAGCGAGGGCTATCTGGGTGTTAATACCCGAAAGCATCGGGGCACTTGGCACTCGGAACTCGGAACTCGGAACTCGGAACTCGGAACTCGGAACTCGGAACTCGGAACTTGGAACTCGACACTTAGTACTCAGCACTTGGTAGTCAGTATATTTTATTTTGCACCTTTCCCGAGTACATACCCTTAATTTCAGAATGAAGTCCAGATGAAATCCAATGAAGTCTGCAGGACTTCCGGAGACTGGCTACTCTGATGGAGTGCTGGAGGACTTCTGGATGAGCACAGGAACCTTCCGGAGGAGTATAGAAACTTCTAGAGAAGTACAGGAAACTCTGGAGGAGTTTCACCTGCTGCATAGGGTCCGAAGATAAGACTTCTGAAGGTAAGCTTCCTAGATGGAAGCACATGGAGGAGAGACTGCAAGGGACAGAGTCCAAAGCAGGATCAGATAGGAGGAGTGGTCCAGAGGACAGGATGTCTGAAGGTTGCGCCATCTGAATGTTCAGATGTCCAAAGGTTAAGATGTCCAAAGGTCATGATGTCTGAAGGTCATGATGTCCAAAGGTTACAATGTCCGAAGGTTTTGATATCCGAAGGTAAGATGTCCGGAGATCCAAAGGTCCGGAGATCCAAAGGTCTGGAGGTCAGCAGGAGTGGACAGGATTATAGGACAGGAGAATAAAGGCTACCATGGACAAGGTCTGGAGTAGAAGCAAACAGAGGTAGGCTACACTTAGGTGGAGTCGGAGATAACAGGAAGTAGACATAAGTCTTGGAAAGACAGGAAGTGCCAGAAAGGCAAAGGTCCAGCTTAAGGAATCAATCCTTAAGCTTGGATAGAGATGGAAGGACAAATCCAAAGGTTTGGAAGTCCAGCCTAAGGAATCCTTCAGGTTGGACTCAGATCTCAGTACACTTCACTTGATTTTTGATATCCGGGACTCCATAGTCGGAACTTGAGTCTTGAATCTCGGGTGTCGGGTGTCGGGTGTCGGGTGTCGGGTGTTGGGTCTCGATGGTCGGGACTCAATATTTGGGACTCGTTGGTCGGGACTTGATACTCGATTGTTGGGATTCAATGGTCGGGCATTGGGTTTCAGGACTCAAATCTCGGGCTTTGGGACTCGGGTTTCAAGACTCGGTAGTCGGGACTCAATGGTCGATTGTCGGGATTTGATGGTCAGGGCTCGGATATTGGTACACTTCACTTGATTTTTGGTAGTTGGAACTTGGCATTTGGTAGGCTTGGATGATGTTGGCTTTCAAAGATCTATTATCATATATTGCTCAATGAAATACCAGACAATCGGAAGTGTGCTGGACATCACATATTCATTTGTCGAGACCCGGGTCTCGGAACTCGGTACACTTCGCTTGAGTTTCCACTTCACCCCTTTGCAAGGCTCCATGCCATACTACATCATTAGATGACTTTGAATTATTACCTCCATGATATACAACTAGCTGAGCTCCATCATGTCTACAATTATCATTCTCCTGGGCCCACCCGTTTATATTATATACCCCTACGTCGGCCTACCCGTCTATGCAATATATGTCTACCATTGGCCCACCCGTATATAATAAATCTTTCACCGCTCCCTCGGCCCACTCGTCTACAAAATAATACCAATACGTCGGCCCACCCGTCTACAAAATAATATTAATTCGTCGGCCCACCCGTCTAATATGATATATATCTGGGCCCACCTGTCTATGTGATAACAAGCACCCTTGATATACCCGGCTATTTGATACATATCTACCTTGGTACACCCATCTACATAATATCCAACTACCTCGGCCGATCCGTCTATTGAAAATTCATGTCCATCGGCCCACCCATCTACTTTACATATTCCCCACCTGGGCCCCACCCGTCTCCATTGGGAATAATAACACTCCCGGCCCATCCGTCACAGTCGAGGATATATCTACCCTCGGCCCATGGTCCGCTGGCCCGTATCATACGGGATATTATGCACGTCCGTCCACTCGTATAATACGGAGATATGTTACTGCACTATGTGACACGACGAGGGTGCCAGTGGGATGAATGGCAATGGCGTTGATACGGCTAGTGTGGCCTTCCCAGGGAAGACCGACCTGCTCCCAGGTCAATGGATCCCACTCTTGTATGGTATAATCGCATGTTGAAAGAAGGTGTGTGCCATTGGGTGTCCATGCGAGTGACAAGGTGTAATCCCCAAAAGATGCAACACATTCCCTGGTGCCTGGATTATAAATTTGGATACCACAGGTTGTTGTGATGGCAAGAAGTTCACCAGAAGGCGAATATCGAACACATAAGATGGCAAGAGTAGAACCAAACTGGATTGATTCTCCTTGCATCTGCCATGTTTTGGTACACCAAAACTTCATCTTGTCCAATGAACCAGAAGCCAGCACCACACCATCCGGAGAAAAAATCCACTGAGTGGATATAATCGGTGTGGGCTTTGATGGGTTGGATGAGAGATTCACCAGTTTCACCCGTGCCAGGGAATGATTTCTCCATTTTCATCACCACTTGCTATTATTTGACCATCTCGTGATACCGCCAATGCAAACACCCGACTGCTATGCCCCTCCATCTTCTTCAACACAACACCTGTCTCCAAGTCCCAAAGAAGAAGTGTCTTGTCGCCAGAGCCCGTAACTATTCGTCGCTTATCGGGGAAAACTGTGACTGCACTGAGTCCCCTGACGGTATCCTCATGATCTTCAAAAGTTCGAATGGGTGTGGTGCTTGCAATGAGCTTTGGCATTTTACTGGAGGTTGATCGTGTTGAGCACGATTGAGGGACTGTGGCTGTCTTTCTCTGAGGTGCGTGTATTGTGCGTTTTTATGCTGCTTCACACACCGGCGGTTTCAGAGTTTTCCCTCAGGCAAGATTTTGATTGAAATGAGAATGTCAAATTAGTCATTCGTACATTGAATTTTATCACTGGAATAATGGCAAAAGCACAAATAACATATTTTGATACCAATTTTGAACTATTTAAATGTATGAAAAACTCGAAGTTTTTCACTTTTCGGAAAATATTGGCCTAAATGTTAACTTTTTCGTCCAAAGATAAATGTGAAATTTTGAAATGCAGAAAAACGTTCCACACAATATTATATAATAACAGACGTGTTGCCACTCCGGAAAATTATAATTTACCTTACATTCAAATGAGTATGAGAAAATGCGACATTTAAGCAATGGGAAATCATAGTGCACATTCATTGGGCGCTCGCTGGGCAGTCATCAGGTATTCATCACACAGGGTGCTTTCGTAACAGTAATGGTATTGAACGGCACAGTAGTACTAGCAGTAATGGTATCACATAGTAGTGCGTGACTTCTCCAGAAGACAGATTTGATTGAAACGTAAATTAACTAAGGTAGAAGGAGTAACTGCAATATCCACGGTGTTCTTCTTAAGGTTACACTTAGCTATAGTAGAGATGGAACCGCGATGACTCCCATCTAGAACAATGCACTCTTGGTTTTTTTTTGCGAGGAGGAACTGGGCTTAGATCTGTGATAGGTATGTGATAGTGCTGAATGGCAGTGCCTGCACCGTTCGATGAACAGAACACTGCAACACAGCCCTCGGGGGCGGGTCCATTCAGACCGAGGAAGGGATCAGGACAAGCGGTTGACACAAATTGATTGTGTAGCCTGCCTCTCATGAAGGAGGGCGAGACTTTTAACATCACGTGATACGTGGTGAACTTGGAGGAAAATTCCTTCGTCATTAGCCAAGCTAGTGGGCCTACAATGAAATAAGCTAAATATAATGATGCCTCCCCGGATGGACTCACCCTCTTTGAGTTTCTCCGATCGAGAATCAATGTTATCTAGTGTATCAACAGTCCAGGGTTTCGGATCGGCAGTCAAAGAGCTGGGATTAATGCTGGGCAAAGGACTGCAAGCCTGATCCTCGGGGCTGGTGGTCCAGTTGGTCCAGGCGGATGAGAATGTGCCAGGATCTGCAATTGCAGTCAACGAGCTAGAGTGAGCCTTTTCAGGTGGGGGGGTGACACTTCGAGGTTGTGGGGCTAGGTACGATTTTCTCCGCATCTCACAGAAAGACAACATGTCTATTCCTTCGAGCATTGCACCATTTAGTCTCCTTCCATACCTAAACACACATATGAGCAATTAGTCTGGTATGAAAATACGCGTGCTGCTTACCTTGTGGCAACGTTCTCGAGTGGAATTGTAGTGTGTTGCTGCCCATGCAAAGCAATTGTACATTTCTCTACGGTGAGACTGTAGAGCGTAGCTCGGTAACCCTTATGGTCACCCCCAATGATGAATACTTCTTGTCTGATGTCCTGTTTGAAGGAATCCAGGCTGGCATTGTGTATTTTCATCATGAATGAGATGGGAACATCAACCTGCCAGAAGTCAGTATTCCTAGATATACATAGGTTGAGGAAGATATTACTGACGAGTGAATGATCGATGTCAGAGAGTAGGGTCAAACGAGCATTCGGAAAGTCGACGCTTCGCACGATCCCTTTTATCTGATATTCTGGCCCACAGGCGACTCTCACAATGTCTCCAGGTTTGACATCATAGCCCTTGTCCTTCGTGAACTGTAATGTCTGAAGGTGTGGGAGGTGTGTCCGCTGAACAACTGCAATGGGAACCGGAATGTACAATGTTCCGTCCTGGAACCACAGACTGTCTCCTCTCTTGGGCAGCCAACGCACGATGCCACACTTGCCTATGTGCTCCCCCACAAGTACATCTACACAATCCCATATTTGAATTGATTCAACATCAGTGGGAGGTGTAAAAAGTTGCTGCATTGGTGGTCGTGCTTGCCGCGTGTGAGTCAGAGGGCGCTGGTCCAGATAGTACTTTGAAACTTCCACCTGCCATGATGCATTGTATTAGATGATTTCGCCAAATCTGAATTGAAAATAGACCTTCACCTCTTCCTTTGAGACATCTTGACAAAGACAAAATATATCATCTACCATTTCAATAATGTGCCCCTCCACACTGAAGTATGGACCTGCTACAAACTCAAACCGTGTTGCCGATCCGAAACACGCGTTCTATGTCCTGCAGTCGACATTCTACTTCCTTTCAGTGTCCACTCAAGTTCAAATCCAAGGTGGCAGAACCGACAGTATGGTCAGTTGAGGTGACCTTCCCGACTTCTGAACTAAGATCTCCTTTGATGATCCTGGCCCAATCACCTGCGTGCAAGAACTGCATTGAAAACGCAACCACAGTGCTCTCGAGGAATGACTTGTCCCATCCGGATCGCAAATGGAGTTCAATGTCGTTAATGTGAGGGCAGACAACACGTTCTAGGTGATCGTGGTGGAAGTTGTGAAGTAGGAGGCCCATGTAGTATCTTTCTCCTTTGTACTTGCAGCCTATAACTTCGTCACCGTGATTGATGTTGGAGACCGCGTCCCTGTTTGGAAGGCGGGATGGGTCGAGTAGAGATCGAGATCCCCGAGACATGGGGTATGGGAAATCTCTTAGGGGAACCAAGACCGCAACCAGATCATTTGGCAAATCAGAATTGAAGACTTGAGCTATGTCGCCCTTATACTTGCCATGCTTGATCCTCACCCAGGCTGGATTGGGAAGCTTGCTGCAAGAATGCTTGACCATTTCACCTTCCTCGTCCATTATGACGAGATATTGTTTCACGGTGTAGAGACTTGCGTTTCTGCAGGCACATACAGTGGCTCAAAAAACTGTCCGCATGTTTTGACATTTTTCACTATCTATGATATTGTGTGAGAATGAACAAATTCCTCAAGGACATACTTATACCACATTGTAGTATGGCTTCAGGGCTTTTATTTGAGCCCTACACCGTGGGAATCGGCGGAGATATGGTGGAGATATAAGGCTTATAAAATGATGACTCATGTGGACAGTTTTTTGAGTGTATATTAAAACTATATAAATCATTATTTATGACACCATAAAAATCATGCCACTATTATATAAATTATAAAGTGGTGTCATTATGTTATTTTATGACTATATCTAACTATATAAACCAGAATATCTCATGTATCATAGTCATAATCACCATGAAAGCCATCTCCTCTGCTCAAAGAGATAATATCCTCTCTCTGTCTTATGCTGGCCTCTCTGCTCGCCAAATTCTCCTCTAGAACTGGAATATGCAAGTCCACTGTGGCCAAGTTCATCAAAGAAAGCCACCCAGACAAGGAAAACTCTTGTGGAGGACGTCCATCCAAGCTTACCTCTACTGACAAAAGGGCTATTATCCAACATATCACTACAGGAAAGGCTGATAATGCTGTCCAAGCCACCCATTATATCAATTCCACCATCACTACCCCTGTCTCTTCACAAACTGTGAGGAATGTTCTCAAGGCAGCTCATCTCAAGGCAGTAACAAAGAAGAAAAAGCCTCTTCTCTCCATCAACATAGGCAGAGAAGACTAGCCTTTGCCTTAGCTCATCAACACTGGACTGTAGAGGACTGGAAGCATGTTATATGGTCAGATGAGACCAAAATCAATAGGATTGGGTCAGATGGGGAAGGTGTATGTATGGAAAAAGAAGGGAGATGGCCTAACAGACAGAGAGGTTAATGGGACTGTCAAGTTTGGAGGAGGTTCTTTAATGGTATGGGGCTGTATGGGATGGAATGGTGTGGGAATGCTTGCTGAGGTTGAGGGGAAGATGAATGCTGAGCAGTATATGGACATTTTAAATGACCACTTGCTGCCTAGCTTGGCAGAATCAGGGATTGATGAAGAAGATATCATTTTCCAACAGGATAATGATCCCAAGCACACATCCAGAAGAGCTAGGGAATGGTTTGAAGAACATAACATCAATGTTCTTGACTGGCCAGCACAGTCTCCTGATGTCAATGTCATTGAACATCTCTGGGGAACACTCAAGAAAAAGCTTCAAGCCTATGAAAACCCCCCTAAAGGAGTATGGGAGCTTTGGGAGAGAGTAGCAGTGGAATGGGGGAAGATCACAGCTGAGGATTGCCAGAAATTAATTGAGAGTATGCCTAGAAGGATAGAGGCAGTAATTAAAGCCAAGGGAGGTCATACAAAATACTAGAATACCTGGTTATTACTGTAAAATACTTGAGTCAAAAAACTGTCCGCATGAGTCACCATTTTGTGAGCCTTGTATCTCCACCATATCTCCACCGATTCCCACGGTGTAGGGCTCAAATGAAAGCCCTGAAGCCATACTACAATGTGGTATAAGCATGTTTTTGAGGCATTTGTTTGTTCTCACACAATATTATAGATAGTGAAAAATGCCAAAACATACGGACGGTTTTTGAGCCACTGTATGGGCACATTTCACACCTTTTCACAACTCATGACAATTGGCCTTCAATGCACAACTTGCACCATCAGCTATATTCAACTTCTATCATGTCTCTAGTTGTTTTAACACATAACGCGCAGCTTTCACGCGAAACGCGCCATAGGCGCACTACTTTCCCACACAATGCGCAGCATTCCCGCACGCGTTTAGCGCGTTTCTCTCGCACTTGTCGCCCTTCTCCATGCGCAACTTCTGCTATGTCTCCAGTCATTGCGCATACAATGCACAGCTCTCCTGCAAAACGCGCCATAGGCGCAACACTTTCTCACGCTTTCGCGTTTCGCGTTCCCGCGCGCGCGCTTAGCGCGTTTCTTGTGCTTAAGCACACTCCATCGCACATCATCCAGGAGCATCCATCCATCGTACAACCAGTTCCTAGGTGTGTCCCTTTTCATTATCAGACCATATTTAGCCTATTACATTTTGTATTTCATTATGCACCCTTACTTTACATCATTTTACCTCACTTACATACTAAGAGCGCTCCCTATTCGGCTCCGAGCCCTGGGAGAGCGCTTGGGTAGAACTTACTTAGCTTACTACACAGCTTCCCACCACATCTTTCTACCACCATGTACTTGGCAGTTAGTTCCATGCAATGCATGCGTCCATCATCGTCTTAAGGCCCTAGCATCAGTCTAAAGCTAGTGGCAGTATCAGTATCCATCAATATCTGCGCTTTCACCATATCATCGTCTCTCTACACTTGTGCGCTGCTCGCACTACCATTCCAGTTCTCTGTGGCATTTTCGCCTTTCGCACTTTCGCCTTCCCGCGCTTCGCGCATTTTCGTGTTTCACTTTCCCCCCGCGCGCGCGCCTTGAGCGCGTTTCTTGCGCTTACATCGCCCTTTTGTCGCCTTTGATCAGGGTTGATCAGCATCACTTCGTGGATTCTTGCTTTCTTTGCTTCCCTTAAGGGTCGAACATATCGCATGGCATATCAAGACTGTTAAGACCGTACTCAAGTAGTATCGGATCCGAAGGGCTTCGGCCTCAGCTCGTGCGCTGTGCCCCTTTCCCGAGTCTTGCCCCTTATTTCAGAGAGCTAGAGTATCGCGTCTAGTGAGACGGATAAGTCTCGTAACGGATAAGTCTTGTATTGCAACGGATAAGTATTGAAATGGATCCGTTAAGACTTCCAGATATCGAACGTATAGAGTAACGGCTAATCCGGATCGGATCCAGACTAGAAACTAACGGGTGAGGACTGTCCGAAGACAGAGGCGGATATGTAGACTATAGGAATCTATCCTAAGTCTTGGAGTAGACAAGAGTAGCGTACTCAAGTCCAGACGGATAACGGAGGGACTTAGAGTCCAGACGGAATGAGTGCAATCTAAGATGATATTCGAACTGATCTACTACAGCGCATATACAAAGGTTTATATACTACGGATAGCTAATGGAATGATCAATAAGCAAAGGTGCGAGGCTATGTACGAAAGTATAAGCAAAGTCTAAGTGGAGCGTATTGGTAAGTTGGATGGATCACGAATCATGAACCGGGAATGAAGTACAAGTAAAAGCGGATTCATAAGTGTAGCGGATCAGTAAGCATAGCGGATCAGTAAGCAAAGCGGAAGTAAAGGATAACCGGTATACCGGTGTACAGGAATACCAAAAGGAGATGAACGATGGTTAGAGTTATATGAACAGGAAATGAAATAAGAATCAAAGCGGATCTGTGGACCGGACGACGGATATGTTCATCGGATCTGGATCGGATCTGAGATCCAGATCATCGGATCTGTAACCGGATATATGGTATATGACAAAGACCCAACATAGAGAGTGTTTGCTTGTCATCTGACTTGCAGTCACTTTGTTGTGTTACCCACAATGGTGAGGTAGAGCGAGAAAGGAAGCGAATCTGCGATGGTTTTAGGGCTGTCTGCCACCACATACAGCTGGCCAGCTAACCAAGCTAACACCTTGACGGCAAATTTTTTCCTCCAAAGGTGTGCAGCAATATAATCTGTGACATTCCCTGTAATTGATGAGTTAAGAATGATATGACATCAATAGAAAGACTTACGTTCAACATGGAGATGATACATCTTCCCGTCCTGCAATCCAGCTAAAGGGATGAGGCCAGATATTGAGGTGGGAATAGTCTGATGATCTTGTGATGAGCTAGGTTGTGTGCCTTCGAATCTATTCGTGATTTTGTTGATAGCTGCAGTAAACCTGGCGGCTGATGATAGTCCTGGCAAGGGGGTAACCTTCCAGGACTCTGAGGGTTTATTGTGGTTGTCCTCCTCCTCCTCCTCCTCCCCCTCCCCCCCCCCTCCTCATCATCATCCTTGTTGTTGTTGTTGTCCTCTGCAGCCAGATCAAGGTAGGGATTTTTCAACTAATACAGTGGCTGTTTAGCATGTGAAAGTATTATAATCAAATACTTTCGCTTACTCTGGCTCGTCTACGTGAACTTTGAATGTGTGCACTGGTCGATCGCCTGTCGGCCATGGAAGAATCCTTGGGAGCGGATGAGGCTGGATGTATGTGCTTTGCCTTGACAGCACGAAGGTTTGCCAAGGCAAGCTTGTCATCATCGTCACCGGAAAATAATGCGTCTCGGGATTCCTTCCAATCATCTGCGGAATATCGATCGCTGAGGTACGATAGTAGAGCTTCTTCCATCTGAGGGTACGTCATGTCCGTGGTAAGGAACTGCTCCAAGATTGCCCATGCATGTTTATCCGCTAGTGGTGTTGTCTGATTCCCTGTGATTCGCTCATGAATAAAGCCATAGGGCAATATCATATTGCTACTCACTGTCATCAATTCTGATACGCTTCGAGGTAGGTGCACCATCATTGGATGCGGCACGTTTGGCCATGGTTTCTGTCGTCTATAAAATAGGTTCAGCATTATGATAACGCGAACTTGGAACATCACATACTAGATTCAATAGATTCAATAGTTAAGTCTACATTAAGACTAGTAATACTGTCGTATCGAGGTAGTTGTAGCGGAAAGAAAACCATGAAGGTGCGAGACCAGTATTTATAGTGAACAACTGCAGTGTGGACCACAGCAGCCACAGTGGACACAGCAAATTGTCTATTATGCGGGAGGTGGACCATAGTGTTTTTTGTTCTAAGTATTGTTAGGTCCACTACTACTATAACAATATTCTGCACAAGTACTAACACTATCAATGATGTATGGGAATTGGAAAAGAAAACCAGTTCAGGTAGACAGAAGCCATGATATACAGAATGACTATAGATTGAAACTCAGCGGGCAATGCCGGTCTGGCAGTGGGCGCAAAATGGCCACTCAAATTTCTGGCGGAGTTTGATTATGCAGGCATTCACTATATACAGCCGCTCATTCAGTAGATTGGCTTTCTTTCTGAATTCCATGCCAAGCTTCGCTATGTTCGTAGTGTAAAGTTCGTATCACAATGTATTGTAGAGTAGAGCATCACTTTAGCAATTTGACTTGCACAATAAACATTTCGCATCAATGAATGCAGCTGTTGCGCGTCTGTGATGGACACCCGCAATCTGCTTAAAAGTTGGACAGGTAAGTATGCACTTGATATTTAAATAGTGTTCATGCCTTAACATTAATTGCCAGTCAGAATGACCACATGTCGCTCTTCTTGCAGCGCATCTGTGTTGGACGCCCGCTTTCCGCCCAAAATTTGGACAGGTAAGCATGCACTTGATATTTAAATAGTACTTCATACTCTAACATCAATTGCTGAGCAGAATGACCACATGTCACTCTTCTTGCAGCTTTGCTCGTCCACCATGCCTGTTATTCATTCCCGAGCTTCGCGATCGCTCCAGTTCTTCACCTCTCTGCGCCTCAATGTATTGTTCTACCAAGGAACGGATGTCAGCATTCATTAAGTCACTCGTTCGAGCCCCTAACTTGAATACTCCCGCCAGACATTTCCCAGCAATGTGATCCCCGATGTTTGACCAATCCACTGCATTCTGATTAGTGAGTGCTTCGCATCCCATATTATGACGTACTATATTAATAACATATGCTATTATCACCATTGCGATAGCCAGCTGGAGTACTCCCCACATGAAATTCTTGACCACTGACCCCAGTGGACAGTTGCTTGGCAAAGTCACACATTTGCGACACCAGATGGAGATGGTCGGTTCTGCGTCATTGGTAGATGTTGCTCCAAAAATCAGGCTATGGTGCATGCTGTCATACGTCTTGTACCTGTCAGACTTGCATTCCATTAGTTGATGAAAATATCTCACCGTTACAGTTTGCACTCGCCCCCTGTCTGCATGTTGCAGTACTTGCCTAAGGGTGCCTTCATTCTTGTCAAAAATATGAATAGTTCCTGTGTCACTGCCTTCAACGATCAGGGTAGCCTGTTCACCAAAAACCACCTGCTTTGGGAATGTCTTCATTGGGTTGGTGTTATAGGTACAGATGCATGCTCCATCTTCTAATCAATGCAAGCTAAATCCATTCATCATGTTGTTGATTAGGAACAGTGTTTGAGGGGCATCCACAACAGCGTGCCTGCTTGGGTAGATCAGTAAGTAAATTTTGACTTGCCTGCTGATATCACTCACATCATTGGTCCAGCCTTGTTTGTAGCGATGACAATGCCATCTGAGCCCTGAAGCGTATGTCTGAAATAACATTGGACCTGTACTGATAATGTATGGACGTGCACCTACATCTCACTGTCATACATTCCGAATACAAGCAAGTTTCTACTTGCTGTTCGATTGAAGTTGACACTACGCGGAATGGTGGTGGAGAGCTCAATGCTGAAGACTGGTATCAATGGTCCTTTGAAGTCGTATGTCCATACTTGAACTCATTTGTTGTGTGTTCCACTTGCAATACAAGTGTCGTCGCCAGTATGGTCATAGGTGAGGCACATGATCTCTTTACCCGTTCCAATTCGCCTTGACACCTTTGCATTGAAGTCTTCTAAGCCTTGTCCTTGCTGTTGCCAAATGCATATAAAGCCCAGTCCTGTGCCATAGCATAGTGTTTTGTGCATTGCTTCTTGGTGTGTTATCCAGCACGTGCAAGTCACCAGATTGGCCGGATTTTGGATGGCTGGTGTTTGACGTGGAGTTGGGAGCTGCACTTGTCATTTGGGGTCCCAAATCCTCATGCCATCTGAGCCTAGTACTTGGGTGAGTATGTAGAATGTCAATCTGAATATTCAACATACCCCCGCTTGCTAACGAATTTCCATTGTGAGAGACTGCTAGGCAATTAATTGCGTTCTTGTGTCCAACGAGGATAGATGTAAACATCAAGACCTTGTGGTTAATATAGGGATATCACAACAAACGCCATCCACTTGGCAACCCTGGGTTTCCGATCTAGACCCAAATTGCCGTTGCTGTCATCCATTATTTGACATCAAATATCTTCTTGCGGCTCTGGTCAGTTCCAAAGTCAGTCATGCTTCAATTCTCCACTCCCGTCATTCCTTTTTATGAATCTGAAGGTCCTCCCCAGGCCCTACCATTATTGACATATCACACGGAGATGTTTTGTGCTACATTATCACACATCTTGATTTCTCCACAGGAAGAGATGGTATTCTCTACTCTTCCACTCAGGGGACGCACCTTTACTCCTTCCCGCGTCTTCATGACCACATCTCGTGGAACATTACCCATCACTTCTCGTGCACCTACCCCCAAAGTTGTTAAATCAGTTTCTTTCGGGCCAGAGAACGGCGAGTCTGAGAAGGTGTCGACATATTCCTCCTTATCCTCTCTAAGTTCCAAGGACTCTAAAATCCTCAAACTGGAGGGTGAGGCTGGGTGTCCTGGCTGGGGCGGGTACAAATTGGAAAAGGCGCTCAAATGGGATGTTAACCGCTTCAAGTCTCTCAAGGTGAGACTGTAGTGGTTTATATTTTTCTTCGTCCTCACTTAAAATTAGGAGTGCGTTCACTGGTCAATCAAGAGGTACTGTGACGTTGACACGAGCAAGAAACTTCAAACCCCTGTTGCGTTGCATGAGGTTCACAAAGAGGTGTTTCTACAGTTACTATGGCAGCTTGATATTAACTTATTTTCTAGGCTCTGACCCAATTTCCAGAATTAGCTGACTATCATGGGTGTTGGCCAGTAGGAGACATAATTCAGATGCAACTGAAAAACACTTCTGCGAAGGCACGACAAAAGAATTCTCATAAATAATAATACATTGCGTTATTCCAGAAGGAGTTGGGAAGCCATAGTCAATACTTTTGTGCCAGAAGCGGTCAGAATGCCATTGTTGATAAAGCATGTTATCATGATACCAGGGTTTGTTTGGTTTGAATGTGATTATAGTCTAAGGATCCAGATCGTCAACATATTCACATTCGGTTACACAATGAGTGAGTCATCTTTCAGATAAGATAAAAGTTGCTGATTGCAAAATATCCTGTTGGTTCAAGATGTCCTGTCTGATGTCCCTTTTCTCTTCGGACGTTCCGGTTCCTGAAGTTGTGGAGTCACACCCCCCTCCACAAACTTTGTTCGGCCGCAACACATACGTACCCACCTGCAAATGCTATGTTGGCTGGCATAGATCACAATGATTGTCGTCCCTCAGCAATAATGCACACATACCCACCGCAACCGGCTCTTTCCTTCAACGAGGAGTCTGCAATGGAGTTAGATAATCCTTGGCAGTTTGCTCGTAGGGCGAGAGATGACGACGAGCAGCCAGTGGGGATCATCAAATTTGCCTCCTTATATTAGCTAACGAATGTTTAGCCCAATAAAGTCTTTCTCAAAGAAGTCGATCAGTCATCCAAGCTGCGCGAAGATGTGTGCAAGCTAAATTTTAGAAATCATGATCTTTTACTTCGAAAGCGCCACATGCAGGTAAATGTAATCTCACATCCCTCGTGCCCATACTTAATTCGCTTCAGATCACTTCGAACGTCCGCGAATCACAGCTGCAGTCAGCCATTGCACAGCATCAACAACAGAATCAATCTCTTCAGGATGACAGTACTAATGCCCTCACCTCCTTGGACGAGAACGATCGTAAAGAAGTTGCAGAGCTTCAGGTAGGATGCTTTTGCCGTCATATAAACATTCTGACTTGCATTGACAGAACAATATGGTACTTGATCGTCAAAAGGCCCAAACAGAGGCCTGCGCTGAAATAGAACACTTCTTGGCCGAGAAAGAATCTCAGTTTGAACACGAAATGGGTTTAGCAAGAGATAGACTTTTGGCTGACAATGAATCTGAATTAACCCGCTTGGACGTCAAGTATAGTTCCAAAATTAATTCGTTGGATGTACGTATTGAATTGCTGGTGTTCCAGAGTTCTTACCATTTCACAGAATCAAATTCGACATGCCAATGCTCTATCACCTGCGTTTGCACCTGCCTGGCAGCATCTTGTTGGCAAAAAACCTGTGGCTACATGTACCAATATCGTTGGGTTTTCGCCAGTAAGCCGATGACTCACATGCACATTGTCTGCTGACACCGTGCATTATAGATTCCCGTTCCAGCTCCGAATCTGACGCGGACGAGGAACCTCAGACAGACAGTAGACCCTCCCTGACTTCACTCCTAGGAGATGTCCCGATCATGAACGCGACCATAGGCATGCTTGCTGAGGCACTTGCAAAGGTTCTTCAGACTCCTCAAATGATGTCTTCCCGGGGACCTTGCCCAAGACGCAAACGGCTTAAACCCCCTGTTGAAAGTTTCATGGATACCCAGCGCCAAGACAATAAGGTTCGTAATTACTTAAAGCAAATACCTCTGCTCATGCAAACATTAGGCAAATGTCCGAGAGTTGTTCAAAAATGCATTCCACGCCACAAAAGACGAAGAATTTATGCTTCATGTGTCAGCGTCACATGAAGCTATATTGTCTTTCGCACATGGAACGGGCCCTGGTCCTGACCCACTTGCAATGCGATGGGATATGACGACCACACACAACTCCATGTGGAACCAACATGTCATTGATTTACTTTGTTCCCAGTATGCAACTATGCAAGTGGCAAACGGATGGGCTAGACGATCTTCTCAATCTAAGAGATGACATTACACTGAAATTCGGTCAATGCCGCAAGTGTTGGAGAAGGGTTCAACCTCTCAGCCTCAGCGACGGTACTCGCAAGACCGCGCAACAAGTGGGAGATCGACTTGTGGATCAAACAGATGAGCGACTGCGGCTCGCTAGGGTCCTCACTCACAGGGTGACGGTCAGTTACCTTTTTTTCAGAGTATGGAAGCATATTGAGCTATCCAATAGAAGTTCGAGACTCGAAAAAAAGTCATGTCGACGCTCCTGAGTGATAGGATTGCGACAGGAAAGCATGATCAGGCAGTGTGGGAGTATCTTCAGGATATTGTGGAGAATCTTGGCAAAGATGGCATGAGCTCTGACGAGAGTGAGCACGAAGATGGAGACATTCAGGTCTTTCATTAGAAAAGTATGCCATGGAGAGCAGATTTCACTTACGAGATGCAGATTATTGACCAACAGCGTTTGATGGGTGCTGCAGTTTTCACTCCTCGTGGAAGCAAGCCTGCAAAGCATCTTCGTAATGCTAAATCAAAGTCTTCTTGAACAGCAATCGAAGGCCTGCCAAGAGCATTCTATGATGCTTCTTGGTTGGTTGACCAACGCTCATCATTCACAGTATCAAAGAAGAAGTTCCAGAGGATGGAGATTATCGTTGCCCACCAGTAAATCCTTAATTTGATAAACGAGGTGTTATTTGTATGATAGCATAGCCCAGAGTAGCCCAGACATTGTACATATGAACTGCTGATTGGTTATAATTGTCCAGTGACATTAACTGCGGGTCATTAGGGAGCCTATTGTGGCAGAAAACCATGTGGGCAGACCAATTGTGAGCACAGGAGGCTTGATAGAGTTTGTTGTGTAAGTGGTTATTATCTCTGATTTTTGGTACTAATCCGATTTTGCAGTTGGCATGTTGGCATGGTTAGCATGGCATACTATACAGTATGTACATTTGAGTATGCATTCGATTTGTAGTTCACACTCTTACACAGTCGGCGGATGATACTGTCCTGGCATTCCAGCAGCTGAACGCAATGATGCATCTGACCTATGGATTACTTCCAATGGGTCTGGAACTGTTCCGGATGAAGTTGGTCTGCGTGGTTCTGATTGTGCGCTGAGGATTTTCCCCAGGGAAAACAGACATCTCCTCCCATTAAAGATGTATTGTGCTGCGGGTTGCGCCAGGGGTTGCTGGTGGGACGGGAGTAGCAGGCAGGAGGAGTAGGCAGAGGGGTGCCAGGGGTCTTGCAGGTCTCAGAGGTCCAGCGCACATAGACATGTAGAGGACACATAGCACACACCATCATCATAGACAGCAGTGGTTCCCATCCTCTCCTGAGTGCCGGGTGTGACCAGGTCATCTGGTGATGAGAGTAGGACAACGACCCATTGCATGACGGAATACACATTGGCAACAGCAGCCAGAGAACCAGAACGACTCACGGTAAACGACGTTGCTCGTATATGACAGCTCACATCCCAAAGTTTTCTATTGACCAATACTCAAACTCCTTCATCCACATCATCAACCACTCCTGTACAGGGAGACAACATCAAATCAGGAATAACCACCCCTTGCCATCTGCGCAACATTTTCGGCCCCTCCGCTTCTACGCCAGTCTATCCGAGTGGGATCACCATCGGAAAACGAGCCAGATAGCCCTATGACACACTTACATCCAGCTCATTTTACGCCAACTCAGCGCGGATAGCGGTTTCTACCACCCCTAGTTCCACATCATCATTCATAAACACAAAACCGTACCCTACACCTTGTCCCCAAACGCTAACCATGGGCAGCGATAACCCTCGCTCAGTACCGCTATTCCATGGCGACTATAGAGAGAAGGAAGAGCCATCACTATGGTTCACCCAATTTCAACTTTCCATGCCAGATAGCTACTTGGACATACAGCATATAACAATGATTCAAGATGCAGCTTGCGCCAGGAAGCACGGCAGACCAATGGTTTGATGAAAGCATCCTATCATGCAGCTCATTTGCGCATCTCCACCGAGAATTCATGCTAAGGTGGCCGCCACCAAAAACCACCACAGTACTCCCGAGCGCAACAGAAGGAACGAGTGATGGCACAGACGTTGAAGAGGAAGATATTGGAGTATGGTACCAGGGGAACCTACAGGCAACTATGGACAACGTCATCTGGGCCAATAAGGTCATGCGTATCGCCATGGGCATGGGCGACAGCACAGGACTCTTAGTGGAATACACAATCGAAGGGATACCCAACATATTGCACTTGTTCATGCGCATCGTGGCAAGAATTCCCTCAAGACGTGGAGAGTGTACCAGCGGTCAAACTAAAGAGAGCCAAGGAAGACCTGAACATGAACCGCACGCGAGACGCCAACATTGCACAGTTGAAGGCTCAGAACTCATCAGCGCTCAATACTATTCCCTTCCAATTTTCACACTTATCCATGGACAATGGCCGCCCGCACAACCATATGTTCGAGCGTCACACGCATACACAAACACTATCCCATTCCTTACCACACCCCCTAACGCAAACCCAAATGCTATAATAAGTCAAGGAGCGTCGATGGCACCAATTAGCAGACCAGTACGGGGCGCAGGAATGACCCCTATGGGGTGGCGAGGCAACCCAATCATGCGCACAGCCTTTACAAGGGCGCAGATTATGGAGAAGCTGAATGCAGTACTGCAACGCCAGAACACAGAGGCAGGGGTACGTCAGTATGAGGCGGATGTGAACACGTGGCATCGCATGCACGGCACGAAAGGAGTCCCATCCCTAGAACGGCCATATCTATTACGTCCTGGCACAGCAAGTCGGATCAGGTGAATGTTATACCTGTGGGATAGTTACAGAACCGACGCACCTCAGCTCACAGTGCGTCACGACCAAAACCCTCCGGCCCCAAGAGTCAAGGTGGCGCCAGCACGTAGCAGCAATGTTACGACGGGCAGTTCCAGGGCAGATAACGACCCCACATATACGATAGCACACGCTACGCAAGCAGTACACCCGTACTATCAGCAATATGGGGCCCCAATGACACCACCAGTGTTCGCAGTACAAGAAGAACAGAACTGGTGGGAGCACAGCAATGTGTGGGCACAACAAGAAGCAGGATATGAATGGGAGCCGGAAAACTACGGGGGACCCCTACCTACTGTGGAGCAGTAGCGTCCCCCAAACACAGACTCCACCCACGTACATACAATTGTCTCCAGTTTTAACACATATGCTACCTACTATACATAAGATATCTACCACTATGCCTTCCCCTCCCTTCATTCTCATAGAGAGCGCACTGATGATATGAGCACAGCAGTTTCGTTAACCTCTTCCAAGTTGGAAGAGACAGATCCTATTATCGCTAGGGCAGAATTTTCTCTGGTTGTACTTCTCCTATGCAGGACAATTCTATCACTGATGTCTATATGGTGGACGCATCAGGGAATCCAATTCAAACAAGAACTAGCGACCCGTTCTTAACGGTCCCAATCTTACATGGACCTCAAGGAGAAAAGGTCCAA